TAATTCTGTTGATTTGTTTGTTTATTATGAATTTGTTTACATTAATGATAGTTTCATATTTTGGTAATATTCTTTTTGTAATTCGTCTAGTTAATTGTTTTGCTTTGTTTAGTCTTTATTTGGTAAATTTATTAATTTGTAGTACTTGGTTTTAGACACCTGGGGCAGTGGTGCGCACAGGTAAGGGTGGATTTATATATTTATATAAGTGAGTAATGGCACACACCTGTATGCACCTGGGTAGTGGAAACATGGTTTTTTACCAGCGCAAGAGGTTGCTCACGCGAAACAGCAATAAACTGCCTAAAGGACAAATTCTGCGTTGAATCCTTTTGCCTGCGTACGATACCAGCCCAGGGTGCAAGAAGTTGCCGTTTGTTTTATTTTAAGTTTGATTTAATTTTCGTTAAAAGTTTGTTTGACAAACGGCTACTACACAAACTTTGGAAGTTTTTGTACGCGTGTTGGACGCCGCCATTTCTGTAACCGCGACGCTGTTGTGCAGGTGACTCTGGGCAGATTGTAATTAACTCATTGGCTGCCAAAGACGTCTCTAGAGGTCTTTTATGTTTTCAGCGAGAGTGTCTGGGGGACGATCTGCTAAAGCTTGTCCGTAAATATGGGCTTCTAGACAGAGTATGTAGTAACAAATTGAGCCTCTAGGGGGCAGTGCCACTTTTGATGGGAGATGAGCATAGACTGTAGGCAAATAAGAAAAAGGGAACAGTTCTATGAGAGAACATGTCGCCGGTGAGACGCAAGTCCAGGAAGAACGGAATAAGGTAGAAACACATTTTTTTTCCTGATGAAAGAAGAGAGTCTACTCTTTCTTTTGGTGTGTTCGGTGTTTACATAGTCATAGCACAAACTATTCTGTGGCTCTAGAAAAATCAGTCAAAATGCTAAAAAAACTCTGGCAGTGAGCGACTCTCTGTTCTGAAAATGGCTGCCAGTCAATGAGTTAAGTGAGATGTCTCACTCTGTTGGAAAAACACGTCTGGCGACAAAAGTCGACAATGGAATTCATTGTGGACTTTTTCTATTATCGATTTTTGTCGACAACTCACCTTCTTGGCGTACTCGGTCATCTTCTTTGGGGAGCTGAAGAAAAGCACCCGGGTGGCCTCGCTGAACTGGATCTGCTCATAAGCTTTCTCTATGCAGCCCGCAATCTCATCACTGCACAAACACAAACAGAGCTCAAACTCTAGTTATCTTTATTAAAAAACAAGGCTTATACTCACTTTGGGGGGGTAAGCATGTCAAATAAAGTCAAATTTCTCTTTTCAAATGCATTTCTATGCAGCTTTACTGTGTTACATGCATACAAATAATAATATATTTTACTAAAAGCACAGTTAAGGGTAAAAATCCCAGAATTATTAGAGGATAAAAAGTAGTCTTACCGAATTGTGTCAAGCAGAATATCTATAAAAAAGGTGTAGCTCTCAGCGGGGATGTTGCCTTTGGCTAGAAACACCTTGTTGTAGCTTCCCTCCATCAAGTACTGAAATTTAAAAGAAAAAATAGTTAATAAGGCATTTGGGTTGTTTTAAAAAAACACGGAATGATTACTGACATTAAACCAGCATTTATTTCTAATAAATTATGAGGAAGTAAGTCCTGAATGCAGCATTTGTATATTTTACTTAGTAAAATATAAAAAAAGTAAGGAGCAAATTATGCAAACAAATATACAAGATAACAGTGATGATTATTTAAGGCTGAGGCAGATGTTTTCTGCACAATTCTGATTAAAATGGATCTTTTAAAGCTTTATTAGGCTCTGGCTGATTCATCTGCATGATGCATATTGAAAAAGGGAAACATCTAAAAGAGGACCAGAGTTCTGCATCTGTGATTGAAAAAACAAACTATAACAACAGATATGTCAAAACACCACTAAAAATTAATCAAGATGCAGGCTTCCCTTTCTGAAAAATCAATTTGCAAATCAATTCTTTTGATATAAAACAAAATAAGGATGGTTACCCAATCCGACATGTTAGGGTTTGACTTTAAAATATATCATAGTTTTGTAGATAACAGTCAAAGATAAGGAGATGTTATAAAGAGGAAACACACACACCTGCTCTAACGAAACGGGATGTCTGATATAAACATTGGTCTGAATGTCTTTGGCACTCAGCCGTTCCAGTTCTGTGTGGAACTCGGAGAGCCGGTTCTGGGACAGAAGGAAGAGCAGATTCAGTCCCAGTAACTGGTGCATGTAGGCCGCTTCAGGAAGCTCATCCCTGAAAAACGATGGAAAAAAGACGAGTTATTGTAAGCAAACACTGGATAAAAACTCTGACATGGTGCACACTAGGGGTGGGACGGTTCACAAAACCCACGGTTCGGTTCGGTTCACGGTTTTGGGTTCGGTTCGGTATATGTTGATTGTTAGGAAAATCTATTATGTCTTGTATAGTCAGGTTAAAACTGAAAGAAAAAAGCAGTGTGACATGTGATCCATTACTGTGACAGTCTGAGGTTAAAGTAGGTGAGATTCTGCCAGAGAGGAAACAGAGCTAATTCCAACATGTGCTTCCCTCTAAATGCAAACTGGTCCATACAGCAGACCTAGAAACTGCTGCTGGGTCTGATTTTTATGGGCTACGCTGCTTCTTCTTCTTCTGGTTTCCTACTGGTGGTTGGCTTTGGGCGCAGTAGCGCCCCCTTCTGCTCTGGAGTGTAAACGCTTCCCTCTGAGAAAAAGGAGCAGCAGGAACCCAACCAACACACGCCAACCCAACCCAGACAGAACCCAACGGCTCACACGGGTTTATAAACCCTCCCATCCCTGGTGCACACAGGAGAAAAACATGGTTTTACTTGTAGTCAAAGTAGTAACATTTCAGTTGGGCCATGTATCTCTCAAAGGACGGGATGTCCTTCTTCAGGATGCTCCACAGGGCTCCGATCTCCAGGACATCTCCTACAATACGGGCACACGTTTCTATTAGGGGACATCGATTATAACAGCTAATGGAAACAGGTTGAGCTGGCTTGTACTTACGAGCTAGAATGAGCTGCTGCTTGGTGAGTGCTGGTCCCCCAGTGGGGAGAAAGTTCAGCTCCAGTAAGGACACCTGGAAAATAACATTTAGTTGGCTTTATTTCCATTTTAAACGTTTACCTGTCCATTGTGTTGTACTGGTTGTGTAAAAAACGACGGTCCAAGTAAGGTTGTCGTGTTAACTCTTGATGATTCAAACAAACAATCTTGCTCTTAAAGCTAGATAAAGTTTAATTATTACGTTAACTGCTCCAACGTTGACGTTAGCAATAACAACTGATTTGTTTTCAGACTTTTCAACCAGAACTCATTAAGTAATTACACTACAAGATATCTTTTTGAGTTGATAAATCCAAACTGTTATTGTCAAACACAAACAACTATTAGTACCCAAAGTTTTTAACAAGTTATTATCGGATAGGTTCACAAAACGATGGCCTAGCTACACTGAGCTAGCAAGCTAAGCTACGTTTGCTACTAGCGCCGGTGTTTTAATAACGGGAAGAACTACTGATTTAACAAACACAAAAGGGGTTAAACAGATAAAGAACTATACCTTTAGCTTAGTAAGAAGGTCCCCACATTTGTTGAAGTTTGGGGTTTTTCTTGTTCCACTCCGTTTTCAGTGTTTCGTACAGCCCAGCAGTCTCTTTCAACGCCATGGTGATTCTGCAAAACGTACGACACCGGCCATCGATATACGGTAAACGGCTGTCGTAAAACACCCGGCGTTGCCGTGGATTCCCTCCACTCCGGTTTTCGGACCGTTGATCAAAAGGGTGTTGTTGATTTAAATATTAAAAGAAGTATAAATGAGATAAAGAATATTATTAAATTGTATTTCAAGAATAAATGGCAGGAACAGTGGGATAAAGGAAGGAATGCTAGGTTTTATTATAGTATTCAGAAAAAGGTTGGAGAATTAAGAAAATGTAATATAATTAAAAAAGAAGAAGATATTATATCTAGGATAAGATTTGGACACACAGGGTTAAATAGTAATCTTAAATTAATTGATAAACATATTACGGGGTGTTCAGCATGTTTTTTGGAGTGTAGTAAATATACTCAAGAAAGAGAGAGGTTATGTAGAGAGTTAGGCAGGAATAAAATAAAATTGGATATGGGGGATTTGGGGATGTGGTTTTGGGGAGTGTTTTCAGTTTTCGAAGAAGAACGGGTGTGTTAGGAAGAATTTAATAGATTGTCTGATCCATACTCCAATCTGGAAGGTGGCGGTAATGCACCTAAAAGTTGTTTGCCAACCGCCATTAAAAAAGGAGAAGAAGAAGAAAAAGGACCGTTAATTAAAAAAACAGTAAGAGAAAGAAGAAATGGTAGACGAAATAGAAAAGAGGAGAGGGTGATAACAAGATTACGATTTGGACATACAGGACTTAATTATACACTTTATAAAATTCAAAAGCATAATACCGGCAAATGTAATTATTGTGGAAAATATGGAACAGTAGAACATGTTATATTAGAATGTAATAAATATGAAAGAGAGAGAAGATATATGAGGAAAGAGTTTAAACGTATTAAGGAAAATATTAATTTATTATATATTTTGAGGAAGCATTTGGGGAGTAAACATATACAAATAGTTATTCAATATTTAAAGAAAACTAAATTATATCATAGAATTTGATTTATAGAAGGAGTGAATTATATAAATGAGTAGAATATTAAGGTACATATATATATATATACAGGGAGAGAGAGAGATGTATTTATATATATATATAGATAGATAAATAGACCATTAAGCACCACACTCCATACCAGTAAGTGGCGGTAATGCTACTTAAAGTTTGTTGCCAACCGCCATAAAACTCCACAAGAAGAAGAAGAAGAGGAGAAAAAAAAAGAGAAGAAGAAAAACCGTTGATCAAGGAACTCGAAAGGGAAGAATTAAAGAGAATAGTTAGAAGTATAGGGCATGAATGGAATCTTAAAAGTATATTAGGAAATGAAGGAAACATAACAGATATTCATAAATTAAGGAAAGCATTGTTTATCTACCTTAAGAATACAAAA